GTACTTTTCTCAATAATGAAAGATTGAACATGCAGAAGGGTTTCTGTTTACTTTCTTTTTACTTTGTTTAATTGGGGCACAGAACCTGCAGTGGTTGATTTTGTGTCTGTTTTTTATCTTCTTTCAGCTTGGTGAGGGCAGCGGTGTGAAGGAAACGCCGCAGCAGAAGTATCAACGCCTCGTTAATGAGATCCAGGAACTCGTTCAGGAGGTGGACACCATCCAGGTGCACTGCTAGCAACACATTTGAATTCATCCACCCTAAAAGAAACCTGAAAACAATTTTATCAATTTTTTTTCATATTTATTCTATACTTCTTTTCTATCTAATGGTATTTAAAGGTTTGGATATGGATGTAATGAAGCTTCAAGCTGACCCTGTAATTGAGTTTAGCAAAAAAAATGATCTCAATTGTCACTCACTAACAAAGTTCCCATTAGGCAGCTACTAATAAACCATGCTAAATCTACTCTGTTCCCCAAATAATCAGTTACAGTTTGAGCTGTCTTAAGAGGCTGCAAGTATTTTTTCTAGTGGTGGCACGCAATCAATATTTTTAATAGTTAAAAACAGGGTTCACACATTTCAATCGAAAAACCATATATCGACAGAATAAACAAAGCTTTCGATTCAAAAACCCTTTTTGCTCCTCCATTTTGAGTAAACAAACATATGAGCACATTAACACATCTTTTTCTGTTTAATCTACTATCTAGGTTATTTGGTCATCAGATTGGTTCATATTTAGTCATTTAGCTTTATTTAGAAACCCCGAATATTTTATGCAACTTCTTTGAAAAACTCTTCTATAGAAGTGTTAACTGTTTATCAACATTAATTGTATCAAAAACCCTTCCACTAAATATGGTAAAATGTATATAAAGAAAAGAGGAACACAACATTGCCTGTAAGAGTTGCTATAAACAGAAGTTAAAGTTCTAAATCAATTAAATTGGTGACATACCAGTTTTGAGCTCCAGTTTAAGCTGCCCTGTTACTCCAAAACAGATCAAAATGTAGTTAGCCAGGATGTAAGATCAGGATTTAGTGAAATAAAACAATGACCTTGTTGTGTAGTTGTTGTAACCTGACATAAAAATTATTTTCATTGATGGACTCTTTAATTTCATCACCAATTTCACTTTCTAGGCTGCTGCAAAGGACAGCAATGCAGAGGAGCGCCTCACCCCGGTGGTACTAGCTCAGCATGCAGCGCAGCTCAAACAGCAGCTGGTATCTGCCCATCTGGATTCGTTGCTGGGACCACAGGCTCACATCAACCTGGCTGATCCAGATGGAGCGCTTGCCAGGTGAGATGAAGGCAGTGTGACAGGACAGCTTCCTTATTTACATACGACTGTCAAGCGTGTTCAAAGTGAGCTGCTGAAATAGAACAATGGCCCTCTTATTATTGATGTTTCTGAAGCACATAAACTCATGTTTTAATGGTCAACATGCTACTTTATTAATGCTTATTAAGAGTAGTTCATAAAATGATTTCTGGTGGGGGGAAAAAAGGTATTATGGCTGTTTTTTTGTTTTTGTTTTTTTTTGTTTGTTTTTTTAGCAGAAAAGGTGTTTATTAGTTTATTAGATAAAATGTTACAGAGCTTATTGGGGAAATTTAAACTCCCTTATCAAAGTATTCTTTAAATATATATTTTTTTACTTGCATAACAGCCAATTGTGAGGTTTAAAAATGAAGAAAATATTGAATTATTGTAACGTAAGAAATTATACAAGGTTTTGAAAGTTTATTTCAGATTAACATTTAGAAAAAGGGTCAAACAGACCATTTATCAGAAGCTGTCGAAAGCTGTGATTTATAGAGAGGAGCTCTGGGGGGAGAAATATTATCTTTAATGATCATCTACATCTATCTTCTGATTAGGCCCAATCAATGGATTGTGAAAGACTCTCGTACAGACAGTCTCACCATTTTTTGATCACACAAGGAGACATGAAAATGTTGGAAATTGTGTTTTGTTATGTAGTGTGGTTTTCTGCGCTTACAGGATATACCCTAAACTGCCCTTTAGAGTAGAAAAAATGCTGCAAGAGTTGTCAGCCAGATTCGATGCATGTCATTTCCACACAGATTGTATGTGCATTAAACTTACATCAAACTTAAGACTGCATGGTCCTGGAGGTGGTGGCATCATGCTGGGGGGATACTTTTATTTGAGAAGGCACAGGAAGGCCAGTCAGAATTGATGGGATGAAACTAAATCTAGGTAGATGCTGTAGAAGACTGGGGCCCTAAACATACATCTGGTTTGGATGAGAGTATTGTCCTTAGTTAGAATGGGACAGGAAAATACCATACGTAAATACTATAAAGACAAAACTTAAGGTATTAACTTAAAGTTGACTTCTTGTTTAGACACTGTTCATTAAATCTGGATAATTTGAGCTATTTTCTGGGGGGAAAAATGGGCGAAAACAGTAGTAGAAAGAAACGTGTTATTGTCTTTTAACTTCTGTGTCAGACTAATTTGTGTTAGTTTGTCCCAGAGCCCCAACAAAATGCACAAAACATATTGGTGGACATGTTATAAAGCTTAATGCTGGTGGCTTCTATTGCAAGGCACGCTATTCTTCTCCCCTCTTTGGAAGGCTATAAAGTGAATGGTTAAACTCTATTCACCATTAACTTCAAATGCTGTTCAGACTGTTTAACATTGTCCCTGTAATAAGTTAAATACAATCACTTTCTACCATCTGTTTGGAGTTTAGTCAAACAGTAAAACCTAATGCATGAAAAGGAAAAAATGGCACAAAGCAACTTTTTCTAAAATTAAAATGTATATAAATTAGATTCATTATAATAATTGAACTTTATTGATCTCAGATTGGAGAAATTTACCTCTCATTAAATCCATCCCCATGGGAAGCAGTGGACTACTATTGTGTGGCGTCCGGGGAGAAATCAGGGGTTAAGGGTCTTGTTCCAAGACCCAGAGTGGCAGTCTGTGGGAGTGGGGCTCGAACCAGAACCTTTATGCCCTAACCACTAGGAACAGCTATATTTCAGAAACTTGGGATTTTGAATTTGTATTTGTATCTTATGTTAGCACTGACATAAGGGGTTGAGCAACCCACTATTCCTGCCCTGGTGTTAGGGGAATGCAGCCAGACGGTCTAGGATGGGCAGACTGTGCTGGGAAATATGTCAAAGCCCAGCCTTAAACTGCAAAAAGGTGAAGGTTTTGGAACAGAAACTAGCAAACATGAGGGATAAAGCAATGAAGAGACAGACTCTCATCTTCAAGCTGCAGTTTAGACCCATTGGGGAGAAAGACAGACGGCACATGGGGCTGATAACTGCTTCGACTACACTGTATAATCAGTCTGTTTCCCTCTCCCTCCTGCCTGCAGGCGTCTGCTCACCCAGCTGGAGGCGGTGAAGGGCAGTCGTGGCAGCCCTGCAGGAGATGGCAAAACCTCTTCCTCAACAAAGGGTCCAGATGGAGTGGTGCTCTACGAGTTGCACAGCAGACCAGAGCAGGAAAAATTCAACGAGTCTGCCAAGGTAACATCCAGGTTAAGACAGCAGGGGCAAGTGCCTGGATGAGTGAAGTCTAAAATGTTTTTGTCGCATGAGCCTCCCGCCGTGCTGTACTTTCATTCACATATCAGAACATTTGTTGGCAACAACCTGGAGAAAAGACAAAAATGGATCTCAGTGCTTAGTGGGAAGCTGTTGTCGCTTCCAACCATGTGTCAGCTTTATTTCCATCTCCGTAGATGGCGGAACTGGAGAAGCGTCTAGCTCAGCTGGAGATCGCTGTTGGCTCAGGATCAGACAAGCAGGTACATCCTATTGGATTTTACCCACAAATCCCCCTAAAGGTTTTTGTCACACATGCCTATGTATTTGCTTCTCTTTAATCATCAAAAAGACAAATATTTCTACCCCTTAATATCCATCACTTTCCACAAGATGAAACTGAACCAAATATTTTACTTTTATTTAACAAAGGGAGTCTGTTCATTTGCTAAAGTCATTTTCTCTATCAGGGACCTCTGAATGCTGGAGTACAAGGAGCCAGTTTGATGGTAAGAAGACTCTTTTATTTGTAGAAGCTGTTCGGAGTTTATTACTGTATCTGTGACCGAGTAGCTGAAGAACTGGGTCATTTCTAAAAGGGGTCACTGGCTCCTTCCAAACAGCAGGAGAGAGACACTGGTGTGTTTGTAATCTAAGTGCATCTTTCATCTCAGGATACCATTGAGCTCCTGCAGGCGAGGGTCAGCGCACTGGACTCTGCTACACTGGATCAAGTGGAGGCAAGACTGCAGGTACAAACTCCTGAAATGCCTCAACACCCATATTCACAGGCTTCCATAGATTTCTTTAAATTTAGTGAATTAAAGAAAAATAAGTTCAAGACCCTGCAAGGTTTCTAAAAACTGTTTCTTGGGTTTGAAACTTCACACAATGAAATCTGTCAGGGTTTTATTCTTTTTGGTTCATCCTTCGCTGCATTCTTGTCTCTTCTATATAGTCAGCTTTGTTAACATGTGTAGCGGCTGAGTCATTGGTGCATGCAACCTTCTCTTGGATAAATTGGTGGATTGCCAGTGGATTGAGTCAAGCCGCTGTATAACGTTAATGCATGGACAACGCAGATTTAAAGAGCTTTAGCAATGCTGCATTTTCCAGCTCATCACAAAACTTTTCTTTTGACGTTGAAGGCATTTAAGTAATTTCTTTAGTTCCTTATATTTATGTACGGGTCTCTGCAATGGTCGCTCAAGTCCTGGTATGCGATTGTAGCTCCTGAACTATTAATTTATTTCAGAATTTGTGAATTCTAAGATTTCAACAGAATTGCTTGAATCTAACATTAGCTTAAGGAAAAAAAAACTATTCCACTAAAAGTATTTAAGCTGTAGTTGTGTCGAATTGGATATTTGTGATGTTTTAGCTACAATTACAAACCAAAGATTGAAAATGGGGTTTAATTTTTGAAAGATGTCCAAAGAGAAATACAACTCTGTTTTGTCAATTGTTGCTTTTTTTTTCTTCTGTGAACTGGAACTTTTGCAAAAATGTAATGAGAAGGTTTTCTCCTTTTCATGAGCACTTCAGAATTCTCATATGTTGTTTTTAATACAAAGACTTGGTTAAAAAAGCACTTTAGGCCAGTACATCTTTTCTTTTGTCAGTTATTTTCACTGGGATTACTTCATAAAGGAAGGGTGCTATCAATGGGTTTTAGATACTTCTATTCAAGCTCATCAATTCATATAGTTTAGATGTGTAGACTTGATTTTTGTTCAACACTAGATGGCCACAGTGAGCATTTGAAGCTTATTTGAGGCTTTATGAAATTAACCACATTTCCTAAAGAGGTTTGAAGCTTGAACAAAGCTTAATCTGGCCATTATTAGACATGTTAACCGGTAATGGATGTAAATATATGCTATATATTCCACCCACTTTTCATTTTGAATGTGATTCAACAACTTATGGCATTAGTTAAATGTGCTTTTTATTAAAATAGTTGAACGTATTCAGGAGTAGAAGTAGGAAAATACTGCATTCAGTACATGAATTTGTCCAAAGAAGTACTAGATTTTGATGTAAACAAAGATGTGGTAATCCTTTATTTTGATCAACAGATTTTCGTTGCAAATGTTTCAGCAAACTGGCATAACATTTAAAATTCACTGACTTTCTGATATTTGCTGCAGCATAACTGCTGGCAGAAGGATTTTCTTTTTATTATGTTTGAATTATCTTCTGCTTTTACTGTTAAAACAGCCCACTGTGTTCTGGAGAAATCATGTCTCACCCGCAACATTTGATCATAGGCCCACCTTTAAGACAGCTTTTATTCATCTGACAATGTTTGCATCACATAATGTCTTTTTAAAAGGGCTCTATTGCTCATCTTGTAACCATTTCTTACCTTGATGTCTGTGAATAAAAAATAGTACCTTTTTGTTGTTTAAATGAATCTTCTAGAGTGTCCTTGGGAAGATGAATGAGATTGCTAAGCACAAGGCAGCGATTGAAGATGCTGAAACACAGAACAAGGTCAGTAATCCTACTACATGCATCTGTGCTGCAAAAAGAAACATAAGTATGTTTTGTGTATTTGACGAGTCTGCTGTCTGTGTTACACTTTGATAGCTTTAAGACAAAAGATGGATTTCTTCTAGCCATAGGAACACCAGGGTTCTTTGATCTACATTTATAGAAACGATTAATCTGTGAGCTAAACAGACAGATTAAGTGAAAGGCTGTTAGCTCACTTGATGTGGGGAAAATTAGAAAAGGGACTTTTCTTATTTAAGTTGAGTGATTCATGCATGACATGTAGGTGACTATTTTTCATTTTAAATGTCTAAATATATATTTTTAAGTATTAGGGGGAAAAGTGCAGTGAGTTGTTGTAAAGAGTATCCAGGGCACTGGGGCTGGATGCCTTTTAATAAAAACTAGGTTTATTTCCCCATTAAATCAATTGACTAACATGATTATCATATGATGACTTTTTAAAGTGATATTCAGTAGGCCAGTAGAGGGCAGACCATTTCAGCTATGTCACTGATTGAATGTAATGCGCTTACTTTTAATATAGTTATTGGGGATTGCAGCCTGGAGGCTGTAGAAACATGCTAACCTTTTCCAGAGGTGAATTTATGAGGTTATTTAACTTTTTTGTAGATAGCTTGTCTTTAGCTACAGTGATACATCATTTATCAGCCTTTTGTTGGTATTGTTTCTATTATTAAAAATAGGTAGATCAATAAACTAAGGATATAAAGCCACGAGTTCACGCTATTTTAGTATTTATCTCTATGCCCTCCATAGAGATTTATAAATGAAATGGGAAAAAAACCTAAAGCTTGGTTGTCCAAAACTAGAATATAGTAAAAAATTTAATAAACCAGTCAGTTCCCATTAGGGCTGGGTACCGAACTT